GTGCGTGATCGTTTGAGGCTGCCCATGTTAAATAACAAAAATTCAGCAAATAAATGTTAAAGATATAATCGGCTTTATAAAATAATTCATGAGTCAGGCAGCACCTCATCTAGCAAGCAGAGAAGAGCTATGAGATGCTGTGCAAAATGGAAGGCTTATATAGGCAGGAGGAAACAAGTAGATGATTCCAGGCTTCGGTAAACAACCCGTGGGGGATGGAAGAGGTCACATGGCAGATTACTTCCTGGTGCTGATCAGAATATTCCAGACTGATTGATTAAAACTACATCCCTGGAGAACAGTGTGACTGCAATTAGCTTTAGCATTAAGTCTTGCTTTGCCGATCAGAGGCTTAGCACAAGTGACTGCATTTTGGGCCTGCCATTTCTTTTTTTTTTTTTTTTTAACACATATCTGACCTTATTTAGAAAGATCAAGGAACAAGAAATTAAGTACAGAGCCCAGAGTTACCTTGGTGTTTGCGGATTGGCTGATGGGAGATATTGCATTTCTGGTCAAGCAGAACATTTACAGAACACAAAAGTTCAGTTTGCTGATGTGATGCCCTGGGAAGAAGCAACTCCACTTTGAGCCTAGACATTTATTTTAACATGGGGAACATCTCCCTGCAGAGAAAGGGGAGATTTACTTAGTAGCTAAACAAAGCAGTCATGAGCCTTAGGAAGAAGGGAGGGGGGTTCATCTGAATCATGCGAGAATGAGTCATTCTTCACAGTTAGTCCTTTACTGGGACAAAAAAAAAAAAATAGGGTAGTGGGGTTTCTTACCAGTAGCTGTTTTCTGGAAGCACAGGGTGCAGGTAAAATCAGCTTTCCTCTGGCTTAGACCCGGTGAGTTGAGCATCTTGACACAATTCCACAGCAACAATCGTTATTACTAACCCCATGTCATAAGGTAATCGGAGGTGTTAAAGACCACAGGTCCAGATGGACTTGCTCATTGTAAGCCCTACATCCTCAAACTTAGACCTCATTACAGTTGCAGCTCTCCCGGGGATGGAACCTTAAGCCAGCCCGTTAGGATTGTCAGATCAGCTTTATTTAGGTAACCTGCCTTAGAAGTCCCCTACGAGGAAAGTAACCTTGCAAAAACAAATCTGTTTTTGCCTAGCATGACTTTCCTGTGTCCTCTCCCTTCTGTCTATACAAGTGTTTCATTTTCTACAGCTCTTTAGTTACTTTCTTTCCTGCAGAGGCATGCGGCTCAACTTATGAATCACCGAAGAAAGCCAGTGAGACCTTTAAAATCTACTCAGTTGAATTCTGTTCCTTCACTGAGGAAGCACAG